ATTTCAAATATTTGATCAAAGCTATAAAAGGGTTATATGAATTAATAGAACATAGGAAAGGCAGTTAGTCACCAACACCCACCAATAACTGTTGAGGCTAGTCTAATCGAATTGTTGGATTTGAGTATCACTCTTATAACGCATCAAAAGGAACGATTCGGTAAGTTATGGTGGGTTTAAGCACTTCTGTTTATCTGGTCTATGTTTTTAGTAGATACTTATCAATCGGGTTATCACCCATTATTTCTGGGTGCTGTTACTACATCATGGTTTTTCTTTTGGCGAGATCAAGATTTTCAGAAATGGGAGGGTTAACTTAGTTATCTATATCTAACACTCCCACCCCCAGTGGCAGTATATCTGCGGACTTATACTGCGAGAAACCGGGTTTCGATATTCGTGGTGGGCAGAGCACAAATAGCCCTTTGTGTAGCTTTGGGTGCTTAATAACAAACAAACATTACATATATATATATATATATAATTAAAAGACTAAAGTAGATCCAGTTGCATTTTGAGAAATAGATTCTTTGTGACAAATGGTATCTTTATTGTGCCATTTTAGTTTTTTAATTTCTTTAGATCATACTTGGTTTTAATTAAGTAAGATGTTATAAAGCCTCAATGTCCACCAACTCGAAACTGTAAACAAACAGATCATTTTTTATAGATATTTATTTTTACGATAATGTGACCAGATTAAACTACTTCTTGCTATACTGTAGGAGATTTCATTAGTGGTTGGATACCATGAATGATTCTTCAGAATTTTTCGGAAGAGCATATAAAGGACCCATATCTAGCTTGGACTCATGCTGCCAAATGTAGCACAACCAGCACAGATTGAGGAATGTAATATGTGAGCTGGTAACCTGTAAAACTGGCATGATCAAGTATGAGTGCAGGAAGGTTTATTAATCACTGAGAAGTGATTCTCAGCCTGAGTTGCAACTAATAGTCCCAAGAGCTCTTAGGCAGAAAATTCGTCGGACTTTGCATAGTTGAAGAACTAGAGGACTCAAAACCGTTAGATTTATCTGTAGTGATACCTGAAGACAGTTTTATTGGCCACATTAATGTCAAGACATGAAACAGTGGTGTAAACGTGTAGTCTACTCAGGGGGAAAACGAACCTAAACAGTGGAAACTCCAACATAAAATTGTTCTTTCTTCTTTACATAGAATACCCCTAAACATCGATGGTCCTTTCTAAGAAAGGGAATAAGGCCATTGGAATGTTCTGGTTATTACTGGTTCCTTCTCCAAATAGGCTGAAGCACATCCACAAGTTAATACAATGGCACAGTCCATTATTGATGCACTGGCACTGAATAGCGTGATTTGGGCCCCTTGGTGGGACAGCTGTAAGCTTGCAGATTTATAATGCTGAAATCCGGGGTTCGATTTCCCATAGTGGACACAGCAGAGATCTCCATATAGTTTTGCTCTAAAACAAACAATAAGCATGTTTTGGTACATTTGAATTAGCTCAAGGAGCTAATTTCAGTTGCCAACTATTTACTGAATTGTATAAAGCATTGGGTGTGGTTACTAAGCGCACTTCGCCAGTCTGATGTTTATCAGGTCGGGTAATATATGTTATAAGGCAGATGCTTGGAAAGCTCATCAATCCTGATAGAACTAACTGATACAAACACTTGTTTTACACCATAATGGTGTATCACACAATAGAACAGAGATCAACTGGATATGTTTGGTTGAAAAATACAACTTCCCGTGGATGTGATATATCATCTGCCCCCTAAAGTGGATGTATCCTCAAGAATATGTAGACTGGTTGAGGTGTGCGTTATGCATAAGTTTGTGTGTCAACAGCTAGAAAAGGTCGCCATATTTTAGAGACTTTATGATAACACAGTTAAGGAATGAATGTTTTAAAACGGTACAATATTTTTATATACAGCTGTTGGTGTTTGCTGCCTTTGGGACAGTAAATGTACTTTAATGTGATGGTTACTATACTAATAGCACGTGAGCCATACAATAGTTTCATAGTACAGCTGTTGGTGTTTGCTGCCTTTGGGACAGTAAATGTACTTTAATGTGATGGTTACTATACTAATAGCACGTGAGCCATACAATAGTTTCATAGTACAGCTGTTGGTGTTTGCTGCCTTTGGGACAGTAAATGTACTTTAATGTGATGGTTACTATACTAATAGCACGTGAGTCAAAGATGATGTCTAATACGTGATGTTGGAATATATGCATGGCACGACACATTGTATATGGATGTTATCTGCAGTCATCACTGAGTACCGTATGATACGAATGAATCAATGACTCGGAGAACATATTGATGAAAATAAATAATTCGAGTTAAATGATAAAACTTTTAGATGAGACGTAAATTAAGAATAACGCCCTGTAGAACCTTATTTTAACGTACAATGCGCCCTGTTAATGCTGGCAAGAGAATGATATTAGTTCTGACCTAGAAATATGGATTTTTGAAGAAGAAATAAGACTTCTAGGTGGATTCATTCTACCTTTGGAGGAAAAACACAGTTTACTCAGTTGTTTTTGTTATTGTAGCGAATACTTTTTTTCCACTGGATCCATTTGAAATATTCGTGAGTAGGAAGCATCTGTAGAAAGTGAAATTCATGAACAGTAGCTTATGATCATATTGTTATAACGTGTTCTGTAATTGGGTATATTGTTGTAACGTGTTCTATCATTGGGCATATTGTTTTAACGTGTTCTATCATTGGGCATATTGTCGTAACGTGTTCTGTCATTGGGCATATTTTTGTAACGTGTTCTGTCATTGGGCATATTGTTGTAACGTGCTCTGTCATTGGCTACATTCTTTTGGATTATTTGGTTAAGAGTAATGCCAAGTGCATTTCATGTAACGATTATGAATTTATTTATTTCTACAATGATGTTTGCTGTAGGCTACATTCTACTGTAGGCCTAACTTTACAAAACGTTTCAACAACAACTCTGAAAATACTTTATGCCTAACACATTTATAAATCTATATGCAAAATTTCCTCATTGATCAATTGATAACAAATACGCTGTCTAACTCAATGTGAAGTTTCCAGAACTTATGGTCTCGACCCCGTTTCTTCCCTACTGGACCTTGGCTTTGTTTGTACAAGAAAAACAAATGTCAGGTGGCAGTATAACGTTTTATCATGTAGATTACAACAGTTGATAACACAGGTGTTAGTTGGCCAAGTGTGGGGTCCTAATACAGCATGGAGGATCAGGACGTCTACACTGCAGGGATACATTGTCTAAAGACTATATACACATGTAAGCCTGCAGAGCTGTCACCTGGCCAAAGCAACAATAAGCGATTGTTTGTGGCTACACAGTTCAAACCTACGCTTCTGTCATGTGGCCATACATCCTTCTATCACGATTCTTTTTTTCTTTTTTTGTTGTTGTTGTTATGTATGATCATATCTTTGATTCTCGTGGCTTCTGTGTTTTTAACTGGTTATGCCAGAAGTTTTGCACAGACTTATTTTGCTTGTTTTATAACCTGTGCCACTGCATGGAAAAAAAATACGTACTGGTTCATAATATCAAAAGTACTCTGAACTGCCGAAAAGTATTGTAATATTCGAATTTAATTGTATCTAACAGGAACCTTTACATGTGGGTTTCACCCAATGCTTCTTATGGTCTTGTCAGAGCTTAAGAAACATTTGGCTCCTCACTTGATCACAACTAAGCCATGGAACATGACTGACCAGTGAGACACTACCTGCCCCTGCCACTCTTCAAGGGCAAGGCCCACTTGCATGGCCCGATTGACCAATCCTGATTAATTGTCATCCAGTTTAGACTGAAAGATAGTCCAGTAACCAGCTGTTTCATCATGCATAGAATATTTTGTATTGTGAATAGTTATATTGATTTCTTGATTTATAATTGTTGGAGACGGCTTGAATGGGTAATGAAGAAAAACTTTAATATAAGTTTAACATAACAGCAAATGTACAACGTTTCGACAAGGTTTTGTCATCATCAGGTGACATTTCTTGATTTGTTTGCATTATAGATTATATATATATATATATGGGGGTTTTGGTGTATACCTTTATTTGATTGTTTATCATCAGTGACTAAAGGTAAAAAATATGCCCTTTTGTAGTGTTTTTTTTGTATTTTAGTATTGTATTTTGTGAGTCAATAACTTAATTGCAAAGGGTAGTTTTTGGTGTATTTTATGCATGTGTATAGTGTAAATAGTTCAGTAGCAATAATTTTTACTTTGTATTTCCGTGTATATGCTGATACATATGGCAGGATCTTTTATATATGCATGTACATAATATGAAATATTTTATTTGTATTCTTGATAAATTGTTAGTTTTATGCTGTATTTTTAATTTGTCGTCATAATGCTTATTTTGTCTTGTATTATAATACTGACGGGTTTCTTTAACTTATATAATATTGAGTTGACTAATATATTTTTTTAATATTCTTCTCTTTTAATGTAGACTTAAGAGATTTGCTTTACTTTATTATGATTATGTAATTATGTTTTTATTGTGTATTATCCTTCCCTTTCATTCTTTATGTTTAGCTTGATCTTCTTAAATTTATGTTAAAAGACCATTCTAATTCCGACACCTCATTATGTCGTCATAACTCTGATTTTGTGTTTTCGTTTTCCTTCTTATTTTATCAATTTTTATGTTGATATGAATTGTCTCTGGCGAATGGTTTATGTTTCATGTTTAGCTATGCTTTTGCTTTGACTTTTGTATTTGACTTAAACTTTTAAGCCTGATAATTTTATATATGTATCTTTCTACCATATTGTATTGCATTGTATGTTTTGAAGTCAAATTTTTGGTTTTACTCTATATTTCTGTTTTAAAGTTTTGTTTCTCTGTTTTATTTAAATGTTTTGTTGTGCAAATGTTTCACAGGGGCGAGAGCAAGTAAAATTGGTTTCACATCATATGTACAATTTTATTTAAACCGAAATTTAAATTTTAAAATCAGAAATGACCGAGGCTGGCTTAAAGACAAAGAAAACATATAGTATGCAGGTATTATATATATTTTCTACCCAATTTATCTAACTATCAGATATATGTTTAAATTGGAACATTGTTCAAGGAAGCCGCTAAGTTCCTTTTGCTCTAGTTACCTACTGTTTCGAATTATATCCCTATAGTATCACATGCACGTGCTGTAAAGGGTAACACGGTTCCGTTTGCCC